GAGCGCCTTCAGTTTCGTATGATACTGTGCAATACCTCTGGTGTGAAATAGTTGCTTCAAGGGCCGTGGCACGCTGCGGCGCGGCTCGGCCTGAGGGCAGCCAATGCGTCGCTGCTCCGCTTTGTGTTAGGCTCTGATATTTATTCTCGCGGAGTCAGCGTTATTCAACTCATGATTTTGAAATGTTTGCACATCCTGTATGGATTATTCTCATTTTAATTGATGAAGAAAAATATGTATTAAAGGAAAATATAATGTGTGTTTCGTAAATATTATGGTGGTTCCGTATCAAACTTAATGATTTCCAAAGCACACGAATTTCTACACAATTTCTTATAGCCTTTTATAATCGATGGTGAAAAAGCAAAAGCCGGGCGATAAAGTGTACAGCCCGGCGATAGGAACCATAGCCCGGCTGCATAATTTTTTATCGCTTCGTGTAGCCCGGCCGTACGATTTTCTCCGCATTCTACAGCCAGCTAAATGAATTTTTGTAGCCTTCTTTAGCCGGCTATAAGAATTCCTATGGTATTTTGAAACACAGCTCTTATCGCCAATTTTTACCAGGGTAATTATGCAATAGACATTATTCTCAGAATTTATTTGAATGAACACTGAAAATTAAGATTATGACAATCATACGATGGTGGCTAGAGGTTGGCAACGACTCAGACCAAAACGGTGCTGCCTCGACGGATTTAGGTATTAGGTATTTGGGAGACACAGCCAATAGGCTGTGGGTTGGGTAATAAAACACATGCTGATAATTGAGCATTCCGGGAATTTCCGGGATTTAAATTGGTTGAGATTCAACTGAATTTAGTGAATGGGTCTAGTTGGTTGCAATCGACGAAAGCCTTCCAAAAGTCTATTTACAAACGTACTTCAATGAAATTTTTATACCAATGATGTTACTTTTGAACTTTGCAGCTCCGTTCGATTGGGAGATTTAAATCTTGATCCAAATGCAGAAGATGGAGCTTCACCAGTAGACTACATAATTGAGGAATCAATCGTCCACCCAGAGAATGATATTGCTATTTTGCGCCTTCAACAAGACGTAACATTCACTAGTAGGTTCTATTTTACATCTGTCCTTTAACGATAGGAAAAAAATTAAACACAAATATTTTTATACAAAAATCGCGTGTAGTTTGAAGGAAGTAAGAAAATAGTTTAAAGTATAGTATCGGTACAGAAACTTGAAGTACTAATACCTAAATAAAGAAAAGCTTTATTTTTCATAATTATTCATGTCCCAGGATTTTATGCGAGAACTTTCGATCGGCTTCCAATACATATACTTCTTCTTTGATTCGTTTTTTATGAACTTAGTCCATTAGTGATCCGATTCAATGTTCTTGAACGTTCAGTAACGTATGATGTATTTTCTCCAAGCTTTGGGTCCTGCCTCATCAGGCTCCAAATTGGACATATTTCTGCCAAATGGAACCATGTGCATTATGACGTGAGCCCAGTTATGCATATATTCTTATGAGTCTCAGGGCTCATGTCTTAATGCACACAGTTCTGTTTGGCAGAAATACGTCCAATTAACGGTAGGTTGATTTACATTTCCGACCAGGCACCAGGCTTTTGTCTAACTCTTCAGCGAAACAAAAACACAAATATTGTGTGATGAGCTGCGTGCTCGACTTTTCTAAAATAACCATGAAACGACCTTGCCGTATTCGTCGTTCTTAGATCAAAGATAGTAAGGGCCGCAGTCTACATATTTCTAAGACGGCAACGTTTTAACACATTGAAAAACCAAAGCATTATTCGAAAAATTGACACCGTTACAATAAAAATCAGTAATAGGCACATCGTCACGATACGCAACGCTGGAATTAAGTTGCAGAGCAAGAAGGAACAGGAAAATCGCTTTTAGCTAGTGGCTAGTGTTGAATGCGACGAACACTCATTTCAACTCCTGGATGCGATGCAACTATTCGGGCTCCGAGGATGTCCGTGTTGCATACGCACGGCATTGAAGGCGTTTTGACTGTCCAGGGCAGAGACAAGAGACCCTCCACTAGTATTTTGGCCATGGTGGAAGCTTTTACTTTCGGGACTTCAGCATTCTACTGTTGACTTACCTACATGGTTGATGTTCAACAACGTGTTGGCAGTTTCGTTTTGCAAACAAGCCGAAAATGGCCGACGTTTGGGAAAGTTGTTTGGCTCATGACGTCATCCGAAGCTCATCATCGACCATGTAGGTAAGTCAACAGCCGAAACTAGCGTGATGACTGTTGCTCCCTAATAATTGTCCATAAGGAATTGTTGAAACCCCGAAAGTAGAAGCTTCCACCTGTCGCTAGGAGGCCAGTGGAGGGTCTCTTGTCTCTGGTCCAGGCACTCACAACTTCACCTACGGCCAGCGGCGCACAGTGAGTCGAGTCAAGTATCTCGAATTTTCGACGTATTTTCTACTCTACTTAGGTACGTTTTCAGTGCCGTGCAGGCACCACGAATTCGGTTTTGAAAGCGGCGAAAACAAGGTGAACATTGGAATTTATCACCATGTCATGTGATGTTTATCATCTTTTCTTTCCTTTTTACCAGATTTAATCCAACCGATTTGCTTACCTTCCGCGCATGAGATGAAAGACAATACCTGGGTCGGTTACGAGCCCATTGTGGCTGGATGGGGAGTAACGGATAGGAGTAGAAGCAGTGGTAAGTACCTGCTGTCTCGTTGTTTCCAGGAAAATTGCGGTCACAGTTTTGGAATTATGAATGTAGGCATCATGCTCTCATCGTTGAATAAGGAAATCAAGCGCGCAAATATCCGAACTCCGAGCTAGGTATGCGATGTGGTATCTCGCCGAAATGAAGGAAAATCTTAGATTTTCACTTTTCTCTCAAGATTTTGATTTTGGCCATTTTGCTCGCATCGCAGAATCCGAAAATCTAGCTCGCAACTCGCAAGTATGCGAACTCTGGGGCATGGCCGGTCTAAAGTTAGTTTCGCCTCAAGACCGCTAAGATTTTTCAGCCCCCCTAGACTTGTCAGTAGTTGTCACGCGTCGTCCGGTGGTCGTTGCGAGGGAATATCAGAACGTTTTATTTTTAAATACCTCGAAAAATCAAGGTCCCGCGTTATGAATTCCTTTTCCTGAGCAGCCTTTTCACGAGTAACCGCGTACCTTTGTTTCCGACGGCACTCACCCCCTCCTCTTCCAAGACCGTCTTTTCCAAGGCTGGCACGTCCTCTGCCCCACTGACCGTAATTCAAATCCCGCAACTGGCAATTAAATTTGCCTTAGTGAAATTTCACCATGGAATCATTGATGTTTCAGATTTTGGCCGAGATCAGATGCTCCGACACGTTAAAGTCCCCGTTTGGGATAACGAGAAGTGCAAAGCTGTATACAGCGGGATATCATCAAAATTCCTCATTAATGAGACTGTGCTGTGCGCAGGTTATGAGAATGGAGGAAAAGATTCGTGTCAGGTATGTATAATTGAGGGGCTTGGGGGACAAGGCGCATAGGTGCAGTTTTTGAAAAAATTGAGATATTAATGATTTCAAATACAATTAGTCTGAATGCATATTCGGTGGGAAATTCACTCTCAAATTACAATTATTAAGCATCAAAAAGTCAGTTTCAACTTTCTTTCCGCCATGAGGATCCACATAATTTCGAAAGTTCAAACACGTATTCCTCAAAATAGCAAAAACTGCACTTATGCGCCTTGTCGTCCAAGCCCCTCAATTGAAGGCGTAATTCCGTTATTACGATCCAATAGACATCAGGTGTGATCGTCTCGGAGGTCGCTAATTTAAGGTCGAAACGATTACATGTAAGATTCCAGGACAACTGCTTCAGAAGAGTATATTTTTGGCGAATATATATTCGAGTATCATTACTTAAAACGCCTGTACTGAAGTCAGACCGTCTAAGAGGTATTTGCAAGTTTCATATCGTCGGACCCAAAGATATGAAACTTTAAAGTTTGCAGTCCTAAATAGGACGTATTTCTGTCAAATGGAACTAAGCGCCAATTTGAGTTCCTTTTGAGGAATTTAGAATGCCGGATAGCGTGTTCTGTCAAACGGAACTAAGCGCCATGGAAAAGCATTGCGAGTATAGGGCGGAATGAACCCGACACCCGGATCCGCCGCCAATCCAAGCCCCCCCCCCCCATACCTTCCTCTCCCTATGGCGCTTAGTTCTGTTTGACAGAAATACGTCCAAAAAGTGGGCTGGAATGTTATGACATTTCTTGAAAATTACAGTCCAGAATATACATTGAAAGAAACCACGAGTGCGGAGGAAGCCAATTTGAACAAGGAAGCATTTAAGATGATTTCAAGTCAAAAACTTTTCAAAGGGAATTTCATAATTCAGGACAAAAATCGCCCCTTGCCTCATTGAAAGATAGAAAAAAATATTTTTAACGATATAATTTTTTTTTCTTTTCTAAATCATGCATTTTAATCTTACATTTTTGGATGACACGTGTTGTTTCCTCGTAGTCGTAGGTACGACTGCTTTGTACCAGATAAATTGTTTCATACAAGCTAACCATGCATACTTTCATATTTAACAGGGTGATAGCGGTGGTCCCTTGATGATTCCTTATGGGAAAAATTCATCGTATTACTTGATTGGAGTTGTTTCATTTGGTAGAGGGTGCGCACGGCCGAATGTTCCTGGGGCTTACATGCGAGTTTCGAAATTCCTTGATTGGATAGAAAAAGTAACAAAATAGTTCCTTTTCCACAAAACTGGCATATTATTAACCTATGATCCATGTATAACAGCTCATTGAATAATACTCGTAAGTGTATTAGTCATAATCATGAACCGCACTATATTACTTATAGCTTATTTAAAGACCACGAAAGTGGTATTGTTTGATGTTTGAGGTGCATTCTTACGATTAAAGATCACATGTGTGTAATTTGCAAAAATGCAATACTTGTAAAATTATTTTCAACTAGCTGCTTCACCTCACTTCGCTCACCTCCGCACCTAGCCAGGGAGTCCACTCGCCCCTTGGACCCCCGATCTCTCACCTCGCGAGCCTGGCCGCTACGCGGCCCAACCCCCGGGGGGCGCTTCGCGCTCTCTTAGGCCCCCTTGGACAAGAGAGGGACCAAAAAAAAGTGTAAAGATTTTCATACCCGCCTCTTCTTTGTCCTATCTCCCTATATGGCCGGGAGCAATTGGACCAATAAGAATCGTACGAAAAAAATCGTCATTTATTTCAAACTTTGTGCGCAAAAATATCAAGCAATATTTTTCATAAGAAAATTAAGTGGAGTCGAGAATTTTTAAACACCATAATCGATAGTTTCGCCGCTGATATATGTCACACATGACTGGTTCTACAACAAATACAGATAAAATAAAAATACACAAGTAAGGCACTTAAATCCATTTAATTAATAAATTAAGCTATGATGCAAAGGAAATATCTCGGAAACAACATGTAAAATATATTTATATATACATGAACATCTTCTTAAAATTTGAAAATAGTTACAAAGTGAAAAAATTAACCATTGAGCATAGTAAAATAATAATAATAAAAAAAAAAATGATGAAGAAAAAGAGCACTAAAAAAGAAAGCTGTCATACGACTTCACTACGCGAGATTTATACTAAATTTTGTTAAGATAGAAATAACTTTTTATGAATTAGTGCATTGAATTTGGCACAATAGAGCTTCTTCACCTATTACAATATTTACAAGACAAATTTGTTTCCTTCCTCTTCTTCTCCTCCTTATTTTCAGTTTTACAAAGGAAAAAGTACGATGAAGAAAAAGTTGCAAATATTATGCGGGTGCAAAGAGGCGACCAGACCCACGAAATCCTTATGGAAGAAAAATACTTTTTTAATTACTGATATTGACGGTGAAACTCCCAAACCATGTATATTGTTGCGGTTTTTTAAAATCTCCGCTCCTACATTATTTTTTTAAAACAGAGAAAGTCAACATCGGGTCCTTGAAGTTTCTACATAATTTTCTTCGCACAGAGTAGAAGGCCACGGCAGTTAATAAGAACTGCTGCCGAGTAGTTTCCCACCTAAAAAATGTAAAATAACAGGAGGTTTGCAACGTCGCAAACTAAGATAGTTGGTTTTGGAGTTTCGCCGTTTATGTGTTGAAAAATAATTAGCCAAAGTTTAACCGTTCTAAAAATACGCGGATATCAATGGAGGCAAAATAATCGAGTTAACGGCTAAGGAGTTCAATCGCTTGCGACATAGCAAAGTTGGACTCGAGTAGTAACCCTCTCCCCTCACGTCCCCCACGCACCTGAATTTTGAGTTAGCACCTCTATTATGTATGCAATTCCTCTAGAATTGGATTTAACAATTTTCTTTGACAGAACTGGACGAACAGTTAATTTTGTCACATGGTGCGCCTTCAATGTCACAGAATACGACAAGTTAAACAAAGACAACCTTTCATTAGGATTAAACAGCGTGATGGAGATATTCCAGAATATTACAGCTGTTTATAAATTGTTCTTCACCCTTTCCTTTTTTCCATCCTCTTCTTATTTGAAAAATCAAATTATTAGAAAATAATTTTAGAAGAGTGATCCAGAAACTTTGGAAAATCATTTAATTAAAATTTGACACGTTTTACTTGATAAAAAAATTTGAGTACGAGAAAATGAGGTTTTTAAAGAGTTTTTTTACGTATAAAAACTTCCTACAATCGTATACAAATACTCTTCTAACTTTTAATTACTTTTTTTTTAATTTTCAGAAGGTAAGTTTGTAGGTAATTCAACAAATTACGCAAACGCACGCATTTGCAAACTGCATGGTCCATGCTTGTCCATGATCATCTTTGCATGGAATATGTACAACTTGAATGTAAATTTTAGGTCAAATGTGATTTGAAAACTTTGACATGATATGCCCTTCTTCACACGTAAAAATCCATTCACTTTCATGCATGAAAATACCAAAAGGGTTTAAAGCGTACTTTTAAGCTAAACTTTCTCCTCCAAGTCATCTATACTAAAATTATTATATCAAAGTATGCCTCATAAATATCAGCTATTAATCCTCTTCAAGAAGAAAATTGCGTTCCCCTGGTTTTTTTACTTTCTTTTTTTCTAGCACCGGGAACGTTTACCATCCATACCGCAGTGTAATTTACAACAACGAGAAGCTATCTGAATTAAAAAATTCGCTACGCAATCGTAACTCGTAAGTCTTAAAATTCAAACATGAACATATGTTTATATAAATTCACATTTTAATGTATTTGTACCTAATATTTACAACAGATTTTTAGAACAAGAACAAGAACACTCTTCAGTTACCGAATAGGGAACTTTGACCCACATGCACTTGTACTTTTTTCGCTTCTTCATCTTCTGGTACTCTTTCGTCCCCTTTTGAGGCGTCATCGTATTCTCGGGCTTTTGTTTCCTTTTCTCGTCTGGCCTCCGCAATCTGTAACAAAACACCTCGGATATTAAATATTCTTACGATATTTTCTACGTCATTTCGTGGGATCTGTACCTGATACGCAGCCAGTGGGGCAGGGCTTAAGGTGCTCGAGCCTTTAGCCCCCCCCCCCCCCCCCCCCCCCCCCNCAAGAGCAAAAAAAGGTATTTTTCAAAATAAATTCCGGGAGAGGACTCCTGAACTCCCATATTCTGCAGAAGGGGCTAACCTTTCTCACCCGGCCAAGCTGTGGTTAATAAATGTGGTTTAATACTTTTAACGTCCGCCGCTGCGCCGCGCCGGGCTGATCGCACTGCGTTTGGCGCAATGCGTGAAGTAATCCTACACTCTTGTAGGCGCCATGCCTTTCACGCCGACCGCTGCTGAACGCACTTTGTTTGACGCAATGCGTGAAGTATTCATGCAGTCTTGTAGGCGCTGATATGCGGTACATGCCGACCGCCGCGCCAAGAGCCTCTCCTTTTCATCTCAAGTCTTCGTCATCATACTCACAGGAAATGCAAGATTTTGTCGCCTTTTCCCGTTTGCAATTTTATTTTCATACCTACCTACATTTAAAAAAAGTGCAAAATTTGCCGCCCCCTATATTTGCCGCCATGGGCCGCGGCCCATTTGGCCAACCCCTTGATCTTGCCCTGATATATAGGCAAAAAGTCAATTTGGCCCTTAAAAAATCTTCGATGGCGCCTATAAATCGGGCTTGATGCGCCACATGGCTCTTAAAACTCAAAGGTGAGTTTCGAACACTGTTTGGGAATTTTGGCTGAATTACCTGCAATGCCAGCGAAGGATGTTGATGACTTTGAGAGTGCTCGGAGTGCAGGACATGCCGGGAGGCCAACTACAGGAAGCCTGATCGTTGATGCACTCTCCCTTGCTGATCCAACGGGGCCAAAAGTAGGGACCTAAATCCACCCAGGCAAACCGCACCGGGCACGTGGCCCGCCGGACCAGCCACTGCTTTACCAGCTCCTTGTACTGATCAGGCAGGTTCCCCGGCAGTTGTAACAGCTCGTCGTGGCTGTGGTTCTGACTCACCAGAGCCCGTAGTGCTCTTATAGTCTTTCCTTCCGCCTCGCCTTTGCCTACCTGTTCGCAGAAACGTGAAGGAAATTAAATTATTGAGATATAGAAAAGTTAAAACATAAAAGTTAAACGGTACGTTAAGTCGTCCCCTGGACGAAACAACCATTGACGGATCCAGTGAATTGGCAACATTGCTTTTCTCCATTTAAACCTAGGGATATGTATCGATTGTTAGAGGGGCCAGGTGCTCCGACAAGAATCGATTATTTAACATAGGTTTAAATGGAGGGAATCCGGTGTTGCCAAATAGCTAGATCCGCCTCAGGAAACAACGTAACTCCATTCAAAGGTTGCAAAATTGACTCATGCAATTCAATTTTTCTACGAGAATGGACCGGTGCAAATTTTTCTTCATCTCAAATTTTTCAAAAACTGCACTTATGGGCGTTATCCTCCACGCCCCTCAATTGGTGACGGATGGCATCATTCGGTTCGGCGCAAAACCGGAGCGTTTGAAAGCGGAAAAGTTGCGCTTTTTAATTGAACTGCGTATTTCTCGGTTTCCGAGGTACTTTGTCACACGTATCGACGGTGTACGTCGGCAATCACATAACTCGGTTTGCGACATCGCAGACTTCCTATCATACGAAAAACTACTCAACGGCAAACGGCGCGAAGAAATTTCTGCGAAAACTTCAAGGAATGATGTCAATTAGTTCTCCTCTAAAAAAATAACATGGAGGCGGAGATCTTCAGACACCGCAAACGAGACATGTGATTGCGGATTTACACCGTCGATATGCGCAATTTAATTGTGTGCTTCGATATGCGCATCGTGCTCTACGCGTTACTTATCTTCAGAAAAATATATTTGCAAGTTATAATTCGTTTATGTTCTAGTGACCCATAACCTAAAACATAACGTAAATAAACGTAAATCCAGTCATAATTAGAAAAGAGGTAGAATACTGACCAGGGATGGGACAGTTTGTTCTTTTGATCGCCGCATCCACTTGTAATCGAAATCCTTGCCGAGAAGTTTCATGAGATGGGGCTCGAGGAGATCCTTACGGCGAGGTTTCATGACCGACTTGCGGGGGTTCTCCCAGAACTTGAGCGGAATGTGCATGGGAGAGTTGCCCGGGCCCAGCAGAGCCGCTGGAGAGGCCCCTATGAGCCCCGTGTTGTCCTTGCTCAATGACGACCCTGCACACATGAAAAGAAGTCTCATTGCACGAGAAACTTTCCTTTGAAAATAAGACTCAGGCTCGGAAGCTCTACGGAGTATGAATAAAAAAATTCATGGCGCTGCACTGGCGAATAAAATTAAGCACTATGTCGGAAGTCGACGCATACACCTAATTAGATCTCTGCCCTTGGGGGGAGGGGGGACGGCTCCTTGAAAAATGATGAATCCCCATAACCCTATAATAACTCCACTCACGGGAAGGGGGCCTGAGAGATACGGGATAATCCCCTTCCCCTTGTGCGAAGGGGGGGGGGGGTTAAAAAGGAGCCTCCCGTGGAAAATTTTGAAAAACCGACTGCACTTCAGATGCATTTTAAGATTACCGCGACGAAACAGTTCATTTGCAGATGCTATTGTACTTGTTTCATCGCGACTAATTGTATGGAGTAGGGGAGACTCTAGAAGTGTACTATAGTAGTTATGGATCTCTCTTGTATGAATTATTTTAAATCAAATAAATGGAAATAGTATAACAACTTAACAGTAATGACACNGGGGGGGGGGGGACGACTCAGCGGTCAGGAAGCGTACCTCCTAATTTCCTTGATCATCACAAAAATCTATAACGCCATGAATCAAGAACTACGTTGAGGATGTTTGAAACGAATGCTGCCGTGCTAAGGAAAAACGCCGTGTTGACCTTCAGGCGTTGCCAATTTCCTTTGATAAAACACGAATTTCTGGGTAAAATTAAGAGTATTTCTTCCAATTTTTCAAATACTTTCGTGCACAATTTCCCCTGAAGTTCCTGAAAATTTCAAAGAAAAATGTTCATAACTTTTCTCAAAAATAAACATTTTATCGAATGAAATGTTGGCAACTCTCCAATGTCCATACGGCGTTTTTCCGTAGCACGGCAGAAATCAAAATGGGTTTGAGGGAAATATAACAGAAAGAGAGAGACAACTATGATCCAACTGAATCCGTCTCAATCTAATGCTACCAAAAAGTCTGTAGATCCGCGTCCCATTTACCTCATCATCACATTTTAGCTTTGCCACTTTTTAGAGAGTGGTGCAGTTTACATCGATAATATACTTTTCCTCACATGGGTCCCAGATCGATAGTATCAATGATTGTCTGGAACGTTTCGTCTGATAATCTGAATCGTGCATCGTGACAATCATAAATCTATTCATTTTCATCGGAGACTTTAACGCAAAAGTAGGAAAATGAGCGCATCGCGGAGATGAAATACAGCACACGTATGTATTATATTCTATAATATATATTAATAAAATAATAATGTTATATCGTAAGAGTGAGGAAGAACGCCGTACGAGCCTTCAGGCGTTGCCGAATTTCCTCCAACAAAGCACGAATTTCCAGGAAAATTCATGAGTATTTCTCTTTTGATATTCCAGAGTATTTTGTTCGTAATTTGATCTGAAAAGTCTGGAAATTGCAAGGAAAAATATTCATAAATTTTTCAAAAAGAAATATTTGTTGAGAGGAAATTTGGAATTCTCGAATGTTCATACGACGTTCTTCCTTAGCACGGCAGAATACTGTACGTGGAATCGTGGTGAAATGGGTGAGATGTTTATAAAGCATTTCCCAGTTCCTAATTTCTAAAAATTCTGTGGCCGCCTTTTCAACACTGATCCATTACTTACTTACTTACCGATTTTCGAGTACCTGACCACCCGACGACCCATGAGGAATTGTGGATGAATAAAGTAAAAGTCCTGCAAGAATTCCTAGGATAAAGCGCACGCGCAAAAATTATTCCGATTTTCCCAATTTTCTCTTCATTTCACTCGCTTCGGCTAGAAAAATCATCGTATGAGTAAAAATCCTCTAACTTACTGAATGCATATGAAGGAGAGGGTGTCTTGTTAATGTGGTCTGTCCGCTTAGGAACGCTGACCTCTTCTGGATCTTGCATTGCAGACGAAGAGACTGTCGCGTAAAGACAGCACCAGCATAGCCACTGCACGAACATCATCGAGCCCTGTAAAATAAAACGTGAGACAATTATGTTCAGTTTTCAGTTCTTTACTTGGAGAACGATGAAATTGTATGACAGTCCCACCCGTGCATAGTTCCGTTAAGCAAAAATACGTCCAATTAAAGTACTTTGATTGAGACCGCAAATAATTAACATACGGCAACACCGGGATGCGAGAAATGTGGGAACAAATGGGGGAGAAAACAAGTGAACCGCTGAGTCCAGATCCAGAATCCTACAATCCCAAATTACCCGAAAACATCAAACGTGCCCTGACGACAATCAACCCTCTTAAACTGCTCCACTGACCTCGCATATTAATTGAGCCGACCTATCTCGATAGCCCTGTGCCAGATTTCCGTCGATATTCATATTTTTTCCCCGAGGGGAAATAATTTATTTATTGATGAGGTATACACTGGAAAAAAAAAACACATTGGATCTAGAATCCAGACTCTTGAAAACATTGACAAGAAAAAGGACTCTTGATTCAATCAGATTTAAGCTTTCAAAAGGAAATCCGCTCAAATTAAGAGGCTTGGTTCTTGATTTACCTAAGCTTAAATCTGATTGAATCAAGAGTATTTTTCTAGTCGATGTTTTTAAGAGTCTAGACTCTAGATCCAATTTGTTTTTTTTCCAATGAAAGGTAGCGGGTTGATTTATTAAAATCGATAGACAAAGCTATAGATAGGAAAAACATAGGACAAAATGGGTGATCCTATTGGTGGAAGTGGGTGGTTGCAATGGACAAAATATATGGAAGTATATGGAAATGAGTAATGGACTAACTAATAGCAACCTAGAGTCCCTACAGTTAGTCAATCATTTACCCCTTTAGTCCATATGAACCACCTGTTCCAACCAATAGGATCGCTCCATACTCCCTACGTGTTCTTTGTCTATCTTTCAATAATCAGTCCGTAGAGTAGAGGGTGGGTTCACATACTCCAATAACGCGTGCTCGAAAAATCGTATATTTATCCGTTGATCTGGCAACGCCACCGATGACCCTCCTCCTTCGCATTATCCCTTTCTGGCTCGAGCAGCCAGCCTGTCGCCACGACGAGGACGAGGACAATGCGTCGCCCGGCTAACAAAAGGGCATAACTCCTCGTTGAGGTGAGCCCGGAAAAGCACTGAATCGAATGGACGGCAGGGTTCCTTGCGGAGTGCAGTTACGCCCGACGAGTGAGGCTAGCTGGAGGCTGGCAACGCAGAATCGGCACTTTCACCCCCCGTCACCGAATTTCGAGTTTCGGGAGGGGTGCGCGCAGAGACCAACGAGGCTCTGGAATTCCACATTTCCAGTTTATTGCAAGAGGAACGTGATTGAGACACCAAGATTCCGACTCCGCACGCTCCTCCCACGATCCCCGTCGGGGATCGTGGTTGTCAGATTGCCAATTTGTGATAATTAACCCTCATGGTATGCTGCCGTGCTTAGGAAAAACGCCGTATGATCCTTCTGGCGTTGCCAAATTTCCTTCGACAAATCACTAGTTTTCAGGGAAATTTGCGAATATTTTGTTTCCGATTTCTCAGAGGATTTTGTTCGCAATTTAATCTAAAAAGTCTGAAAATTTCAATGAGAAAGATGCATAAATTGATTATATGTATACTAAATATTTATTATACTATTACTATAATTCCGGATTTTGCTGACCAGGTTGTACTGGCCTACGTCACAGGGTACACAATCCTCAAGATGCAAACACCTCCTTTTTTTCCTCTATGCGAGCGCATCCCTTGTCAGCCAAACAACTTGGTTCTGATTAACTCGAATTAGGCTCTCGATCTGACAACTACGCTCCGCGCTACGTAGGTGCCTGGAGGTGACAATGTTGTACATGAAACGAAATATGTCATCATTAAATTGCCGACAGGGAATAAAATCCCTTGGACGACGGTGCGTGTGATTGGTCCGCATCCGATTTCACGCCGCGCTGCTATTCTGTCGTCCTAAGGTAGAACATCATATCAGCTCCAGAATGTTGCTAAATCTCATCTCGGAAAATTTTTATTTATGAAGCATGTTTTGAACATTTCTCCTTGAAATTTTAAGACATTGTAGATCTAATGAAGATGTTGCATGTGCGAGGAATTTGCGATTTGACAGTTGATTCTTATGTGAAAGTTTGCTAGAAACACAATGGTCCCACTAATTTTCTCTGAAATCAACTCCCAAGCTCAAAAAAACCTCTCAAGTTGAGGCCAAAGTGGAGGCATATCTCGCCCTACCCTGATAGTCCACCTCTACATCAAAACAAACTCTCCATGCAAAGATAGGGAGCAAATACATTAGCAGGGATGCCGTGGTTTCAGTTTTAAAGTCCTCAAATAAAGTGGCAGTTCTGTCAATGTATTTGCTCCCTATCTTTGCATGGAGAGTTTGTTTCGATGTAGAGGTGGACTCTCAGGATAGCGTGGAATATTCCCTCCATTTTGGCCTCAACTTGAGGGCTTTTTTTGAGCTTGGGAGTTGATTTCAGAGAAAACCAGTGGTACCATCGTCTTTCTCGCGAACTTTTTCATTAGAATCAACAGTCAAATCGCAAATTCCTCACACATGCAACATCCCCATTACAAGCAAATAAATTCTCTGAAGAATCGGATGAAAAATATTTTTAAATTTTCCCGAAAATGTATAATTTGTAAAAATAAATTTGGCAACGTTTGCAGGTTCATACGGCTTTCTTCCTTGGTACGGCAGTAGTATGATGCATGAGAATTTTTTCATTCACACACACCTCTGCCTTTCCACCTTACCGCGAACGGTTCAAATTTCATTCAGTCTTTATCCCTGCTCAAAATGCAAAGAATGATTAAACACGATTTCTCTCGGTGTAGTATTTTCTTCGGATACGTCTTCAATTCCAAAATATAATAAAAATCTTAAAAATGTCCGTTTATAATCCTAAACGAAAACCTCCTCATTTTTCAGCCCCAAACAAAAGAAAGAGAGCAAAAATTACAGGAAATACATTGAAATTCACAATAATTCTTTTTTTTTTTTTTTTTTTAACATGAGGCTGATTGTGACTGTGTCGCCGCGCCGGTGCATTTTTTTCAGAAAAAATTTCTCTCTAGGTCCCTATCGCTTTTTGAAAATGCCGATTACTCCTCCATTTCAAAGGAAAACTTTTACAAACGATGAAAACATTATTCCCATGGAAATGAATTTGCAAAGAAGTTTAAACGTTACGTTTAGTCTATACTTGATCACTTATAGCGGCTTGTGTCAGTGGTTTCGATTGCGGGAAGTTTTATTTTACGCGCAAATCATCGATAAAATTCCTGATTCCACTGATTCATATGCATTGAGCTGGCTGAAAAAATTAACGCGAGTTCTTGATTTCTCCGTGGAAATGGAGGGGTCGAACTATAGGGTGAACATTTTAAGTTGGTGATGATAATGGTGTTGAATATTCACCGGGCAGCCTTGGGGTAAGGTAATGTGCATAATGCGGAATGTCTACACCGAGCGCAGGCGAATAAATTGATAGATTCTGCGCCTTCTCTTCAAAAGCTAGCCGACCACGTTTGCCCATGGTTGTCAAGCATACCAAATTGTAAAACAAATATGGCAAATATCAGAAGTTGATAAATTATAAATGCAATTATGAGTCAACTTTGATTTTCGACAGTACGGTATCAATACTATAGGGCGAAGATGGCCAGACATCTGATTCCATTTACCATACTTTTGTTGAGTGCGATTAGAGATACGGTATTTTTCAAACGATCATACTGTATGTCTCAATATCCCTCGCGGATGTTCGCGTATCTGCCTGTATACCGAGAGACTTGAACGCTGGAGTAGAAAAATTAACCACTGCCCCGCTTCCCGCTTGACATTATATCTAACTGCGACTAACGTGAGTGCTCGGCGAAAAAAAAACTTCGAATGATCATACTACGGTTCCTGTGAAACACTCGAGTTTTTGGTCGAGCAGGCTTATTACTGAAATTTATAGACAAAGCGATAGATTAAGAAAACCAAAGGAAAAGGAGCGATCCTAGCGGTATTTATAGAAGCGGGCGGTTGCAATGAACATTAGCGGTTTCGACACGACCCAATTCAATCAAAGCAAGTGTAAATTGAATGGTAATTTGTATAAACGACGACGTGTAAGCTTTGCAATATTTGTCAGATCGTGCAAATTTGAATTTTATTTTTTATCGAATGATGAAAACGTACGTGCTCATTGTTATTCAAAAAAATTTTGAAAATACGCATTTTTTAGGGGTAGGCTCTCTGATTATTTCGCCTGATTTTTAAAGAGGTCGCAGTTTTGAGAATCAAATGCACACAGTGGGCAGTTGAAAATTTAAAATAGCCAAAAAGGGTCCTAAAACGAACATATTAACAGTTTTTTAAGAGGCTTGAAATTGCTTTTCAAAGGTCATTGCTACTTCGACATTGGTTTGGAAACCTACAGAACAAGTTCATCCGGCAACGTATATTGAGGTGTGTCATGTCCTTTCACTGACTGAGATTCAGTTAATAATCGAAATACTCCCACTTGAAGTGATGAAAAAGAATCGATTGGTAGAGTGTTCGAACTCTCTGATAATCGATCCTTTTCCACATATTTAATGTCAGATGAAACAATCGCAAAACACGACACGACACTGGCTGAAGACCGTGCTAAAAGCTTTCGGAGCGGGGGACAATACGTCGTCTCCTGGACGAAAGAACGTAACTCCATTTCAATGTTGCCAAATTTCCCCTCGCAAATTGCCTATGAATCATGAGAATCTTGGGAATTTCTAACTGAAAATTTCCCTGATTTTTCTCTAGATTCCAAGTAAAAAACCGACTAATTTTGGATGAAAATTGCGTACGTACATTTTTGTAAAATAAATTAATTGTTCGAGTCAATTTGGCAACCTTGGAATGGAGTTACGTTCCTTCGTGCTGCAAACGACGAATATGAGCACTTGCATGATAAAAAGCCTTCGAACGCGGGCGACGGGGACTGGTGTCGGCCGGGGGTCTGAGGGGAGGGGGTGCAACAAATGTCCAGTCCTGAAAAATGGGTCACAGGCAACCGTGATAGGCGACAAAACCAAAGGTGGAGTGCCAGCGAAATAGGCGCGATCTAGCCTTCATGCTGGCCGTGTGCTCTCTCATTAGTGTTTTATTCGCAAAAATAGGTACATGTTGCAGGCAAATTGCACGACTGAGACCTACTCCTGGGTTCGATCACCTCTTGGCGCTGGCTTGTAACAACGCCACTCAAGAAAATTAACGTTAAGTTTTTCTAGGTTCAGAGCGTGGGTGACGTTAAATTGTGATTAAAACCACGAGTAATTGCTTTGGCTGAGGGAGAAGGTTGGTTTGAGACAATATCAACGGAAGGACATGAGTTGTTCTGCCGTGCTAAGGAAAAACGACGTATGAACCGATGTTACCAAATTTCGACCGATAAAATGATTATTTAAAGATCAATTGCGGATTGGATTTCTAGCTCAGCATTGTAATTAACGCTACTTTGAATTGTGAGTAAAATTCTGTAAGAAATGCAAATAGAAAAGAGACGAGTAAAAACTCGCACTTCATAAATTTGACAAAAACAGGGTGCTTATGAAGCATTCTTCCGCATCTGTTGAAAATTTTACAATTGAGGACTTATTCAATAAAATTTTCCGCTCAAAACTTGCAGAGCAACTTTTCTCAAAACATCATTTTTGACTTACCGGTCTCTTCGGTAACATGACGGTACGATCCAAAATGCAGAGAGGTCCATGAGCATGGAAAAGAATCTGGTTTGTTGCGTCTACCACGTAATTTTTCTACATTCAGCGATCTATTCAAGTGACATTCGACAAGATCAGCAGTGGGATTTCGTTACAAATCTGCCAGTGACCGTGACTACCGTTTTGGTATCGAATTCGATACCGCTCTATCCCCCTTTGCGCTATGAGCACCGCAGTGGCGTGGCGTGCTTTGCGATTTATCGATGTTCTGCCATTTAAACCTATGGTAAAGAATCGATTACCAAGGTGTTCGCTGCAAACACCCTGATTATATCGATCCTTTTCCATAGGTTTAAATGCCATAACAATCGATATATCACAAAGCACGCCACGCCGCTGGAGTACCGTATAACCTCGCTCTAGCGTTTTTAAGCATGTGAAGCCAACATGCGGAGGTCCTCTAAAATGCCATAAGGCACATATCGACGGTGAAACTACCAAACCACGTATCTCGTTTGCGGTGTTTAAAAATCTACGCTCACATTTTATTTTTTGGAAGTAGACCAAATCAATATCATTCCTTGAAATTTTCACAGAATTTTCTCCGCGCGAAGAGGAAAAATCACAGAAATCAAGACTGGACGTTAAATAGTTTTTCATTTAAAAAATAAAGTATGACAGGAAGTCTGCGACGTCGCAAACCGAGATACGTAGTTTGGTAGTTTCACCGTCGATATAAAGGTTGCCAGTGCGCAGCGTTGTGAACAGTGATAGTTTCCATCACATACATTCTTCCACAAAAGTCACAAAATTACCGCCTGAAGAAATTTGTATGTTGGCAAGGATCTTTGAAAGAATGAGCCAGTTTTTGAACCCCCCTCCCCCCATCATAGAAGAAGAAATGTTGCGACGAAATGTTGGGAATAAACTTTGCGACAAGCCCAGCACGCATTACAATCGTTGCATACAGCTCTCCAGCGTGAGAATTCGAATGAGAGTGCAGTTTTTGAAGAATTACATTATTTATGATTTCAACTAAAACTAGTCTCCAAATATATTCAGTGAAAAATTCACTCCCAAAATCCAATTTTTAAGCGTCAAAACGTGAGCTTAAAATTTCTTCCCGCTGTAATGTTCCAAGTAATTTTGAGCCTTTAAACAAAGATTTCTCGAAATAGCAAAAACTGTACTTATATGCGCCTTGTCCTCCAAGCCCCTTATTTATACTACAATTTTTGAGGCATTTTTCGGTAAAGGGGCGTATGAGGCTTGCAATGCTGCCAAAATTGTGCAATTTTTTATAGCGTTTGTGGCGGATGAAATTCATTCCCAGTCGACTTACGTTCTTACAATAAAAATGGAAAACACAAAGCAGATTCAGGGGAAGATTCATAGCAGAACTATCGGATAAATTACTTGCAACGAGAGGACGACGTTGCACAATCTTGGCAGCATTGGAAGTCTCATAGGCCCTTTGACCGAAAAAAGCCTCCTTTTAAATACGATGCGGAGGCTTCAAAAAACTAAGAAACGTACCTGTTATATCTTATCCCGGTTTCGTCAACTTCGCTCAGCTTCCTGGGGTAAAAACTGGTTCGCTAGCACATACCGACGGAGCCTAAATGAAAAACACCGACGATCCGTAGTTCTTCTTGATGCCGTCGGAAAACAAATACATCGCGCAAGAGAAGAGATCCGGAGTGAAGCGCTCAACATGCGAGAAACGGAACAATAACGAATGGAAAACAGCAGTGAACGTCAGAAAAAAACCAAAAACAAAGGAAAAAAGCGCGATCACTACCGCGAGCGTTTCCACCCCGGTATTAAGAAAGAGGGGGCACGGTTAGGTAGATCTTCACCAGGCGACGAATTATTTAGTTGTCTTTGCGCCTTTGCGTCCGCGAAATGTTCGCGATGGAATCAAAACGATTTAAAAATAATCCGGGAAAGAGACCGGAGATCTCGGATTACCGCGGAGCGTGGAGCGGTTGGATGTCCGAGGGACGGGGGACGCCGATGCCCTGGAAGACGAAGGAGGATAAGGATAGTCGGAGGAGGATAAGGATGGTCGGAGGTGTCGGAGGTGCGAGGACCAAATGAAAAAGCCAGACTGCTTGGCGACCGACAGGGCTCCGCGGTGTCTGGGAAACACCGGCCTGGGTGCCTCCTTTGTTGCCGTCTTGTTCGGGATTCGACTTTTTTTTTTACAAAGGACACATTCGCGCATTTGCAATTCCACGCACCGGGACCTCTCTCGCTTTCGTGCCGTTCCCCGTGGGCTCTTTTGCCGGCCGCAGCAAAAACGCCGTAACTCCACTCAAAATTGTTTCCTTTTTCCAGCACGTACTACCCGACTACGATAAAATTCAATGGTGGATTTGCATGCATTTGTTTTGATTGATTCATCCAAAAGTGCTTAAAGAGCTGATTTTACGGTGTTTTTCATGATTTTTTCCTGATATGGGAAATAGTAGGTATAAAAATAGATTTAAAAGTGAGAAAATGCCCCGCATAGTGACGTCATCTGACGACATTTCCCATTTAAATACATGTATTTTTGCAGATTAGATCATTTTGTTTCCCCAATAAATAGACTGCATTTTGCAATTTGGAACTATAAATTCTAGCTCGGTTTAAAAACGACGTATGTGCCATTAGTTTCCCTATGCACATAAGGGTTTTTCCTGAAGAGCCAGACTTTATAGTTCCAAATTGCAAAATGCAGTCAAATTCTGGCTCTTCTGGAAAAAACATTTATGTGCATAGGGAAACTAATTGTACATACGTTGTTTTTAAACCGGGCTAGAATTTATTGTTCCAAATTGCCGAAATGTAGTTCAATTGTTTAATTCATGAACCAAAGGTATCCTCGTGTTCAGCTCACTCAGTAGTTTTCACTTAAGCACGAAATTCATCAAATTTCAGACACGTGCAAATTCTCTACTTCGCAAGGCTTCATTTTTTCATTTTTAGTTCCTAATAGTGTGACGGAGTTGTATTGAGAAAATAATAAAGGATCAATATTTGTTGGGGGTTTTTTGTAAAACAGCATTTTGTCCAAAAAAATTGAAATGTGTTAAATGGAGTTACGGCGTCACGACTTCGAACGGCAGTCTTTAAGTGTGACGTCATGAAACTTAACGAAAACTACGCTGATGCCTCCATCGATGGTGATCAGAGGGACCTCGGATTGGCCCTCGTTGAAGAAAAGAGCTACAGGCTAAACCTTACATTCTGGGCTCGGTTACAATGTACTTTTTTCTGCTGGTTTATTGCCTTATATTCAGTGAGGAATCCATGACCATCCATGAACTCTACTTATCTATTTAATGTCCGTAGACATCAAGAAATTGGCACATTCGTGTTCTAGGCTCTTCAAATTTTCTGAGAAGGCCGAGGAGAATCTGTTTCTGCCGATTTAATCGTCAGTTCCGTGAAAAGTCGTCGCTAGCGGGATTCGAACCCGGGGCCCATTGACCTGGAGCCAGACGCCAGAACCGCTGATCGCACTAGGCCAACCTGGCAGGAACTTTTATAGGGGACAGTCACAAGACAATATTGTAAAAAAGAAATAAAATTTCGTGTACTCACTTGTGCTATTTAACAATTTAATGGGACGCGTTTCGGGGTCAGCGACTCGCTGCCGGCTGATGATGGGGCCGGCAAAACTTTACGCGGGAAATGTTGAATCTTGGTCTAATAGTAGGGTAAGGTAAGTGAATCGAAGGTATATGCTACTTTGTTACAGACTATATCCATAAGTGACGGAACGCTGCGTTCCGTTTCGTTTCAGCCTTGGCGTGAAGTTTGAGATGAATGCCGATTTGTTTATTCGATTCTTATTGGTCCAGTCGCTCTCGGCCAGAGGAAGATTGGACAAATGGAAGACGAGTATGAAAACCATTTCATTTTTTTTTTTGTCGTTTTCTTGTCCAAGCGGACCTAAGAGAGCGCAAAGCTCCTCTAAGGGTTGGGCCGCGTAGTGGCCAGGGGGCACAGCCCCCTAATATCAATATTATCCGAGGCGCCGAACCGATACGCCCTCGGGACTCGGCTACTTCGATCTGCTCGCGCGACCATTCTAACTTTTCGGAAATTAAATTGCATATTTGACGAAATGAAGGAGCTTCAAGTAAATCCGGAAATCTCCGACAAATTATATTATGAGGAAGGCTGGGTTGATACGCCTTTGCCGACACGTCGGTTCAAATTGAGATTTGTGAGCGTTTTTTATGCAAAAATGTTTGCAAAAACGTTTCTCTGTGCAGTGGTGCCTATATTTTGACGTCGAGGCTTTCTGTTACCTACGCGACCATTTTGCCTCAGTCTGTAACTTCTAAATCGGTCGATTCTACAACCCAACGTGCACTGGGAATAAAAAACACATAGAATCTAGAGTACAGACTCTTAAAAACATCGACAAGAAAAAATACTCTTGATTCAATCGGATTTTTGCTTAAATCAAGAACCAAGCCTCTTAATTTGAGCGGATTTCCTTTTGATTCAAGCAAACGTCCGATTAAATCAAGAGTATTTTTTCTTGTCAATGTTTTCACGAGTCTGGACTCTAGATCCAATGTGTGTGTGTTTTTTGTTTTTTTTTCTCAGTGTATTCACTGTCTAATTGACATTTTTAAAGAGTTCAGAGGTGATCGCGCAATAATTGACTTTTCAGGTTTCTACATCATCTCCGTCGTCTGAAAAATCATCAATTTGACTCCAGCGCGATGAGGACTCGCCCCCACCCCTAAACCCGGTAGGCTCAACTACCTGTCCCTCAGCAGCGCGTCTTGGAAGAGCCCTCGAAGGTTCACCGTGGTCCAGGTCCACGCTGACCTGCGCGGCAAGAAACGCATAACTCGAACAGAGACCTCTCGAAATCGTGTGGTTTTTGCCCGCGTCCCTCAGGCAGTAATCGCAGTCGGTGCGCAGTTGCGGCCACAAAAGAATTAAAAGCACTAATGTGAAAAATGCCATAAATAATAGGAATCGGCCGACAGATGTAGCTGCATATTCGGCCGGTGCAGCCTCCCCCTCCCCCTTC